GGTGGTGATACCGAGAATGCTTATTATAATAATTAGCTGTAGCTACAAGCTTTAACATGGCTCAGTATGTGAAAGTTTTCCCGGTTTGCTGGAAGAACACTAACTGTTTTATGTGTTTCTACGAGGAAGAGATGGTTGTTGCGGTAAATATCGGACCGGTTGAACCTGGAATAACATTTCCGATTGCTACAGCCCTGTTATGATAATACTATGTTTCTACTGATCTTGAATTGTTATGCATTTTAATTGACATGTGATTTTCAGGAAGCGCTAGATTTCAAGAAAGCGAAAATCGATTCGGCTGTTAAATATATGGCTGTATTCTCTTCCTGGGCACGAACCAACAATACAGCAAACGGTGAAGTTGGTCATTGGGATAACGGAGTACTATTGTCCAGGTAAGATGATCATCATCATCATTCTTTGTCGGTCTTTGTTGTAATTCTTACTTTGATTACACAGGTCTATATGTGGTACAAAGAGTTGCGATCTGGACGGTAAGTTCATTAATCATTTCAATGATCCAATATTATCGTATAATTTTTAATGATGGATGATGGTAATTGTTTTTCAAGGTGTTGCATATTCTGGTTATCCATGCAGTTTTACTCTGGGTTATACTGTCAATAGAGCAACAGGACTTGACGCTGCTTTCTCCGTCGCACACGAGATGGGTCACAAGTAAGTATCTAAAAGTTCCTATTACAATTATTAATAAATGCAATTCATTTTTAATAAACTTTTGAACTTCAGCTTTGGACTGAACCATGACTCTTCCGAAGGATGTGCGAAAGGTTATATTATGAACGCTGGTCAAGCGAGTGGACCAAACGCCTTTCGATGGTCAAGTTGCAGTAATAAAAAACTCATCAACACTTTTAAGTAAGATGATTTCACCTTCGTCAATAGTGGAATACAGTACTGATGCATTGTGGTTGATTTAGACGTGTCAAGTGTTACGACAACAAACCACCATCTAACATTACTCTTCCTGTCATCCCTTCCGGTCACTTTTACGATGCAAACAAACAATGTGAGTTGAGACATGGAAAAGGCTATACAGTTTGCCCAGTTACCAAGGTGTGTATAAATATGACAAACAACAAAAACAAAACAAAACAAAACAAAACAACACAACACAACACAACACAACACAAAAAAAAAACAACAACAGTGAAATACGTGATTCATTAACAATTATTAAAACTGATTCAACTGAGTCCATAAACCGACTATTTTGAATGCTGTATAGAATAGTTGCGTGTCACTCTTCTGCTACAAACACACTGGTTGCAGTAGTTCTGGTGCCCCACCGGTCGACGGTACTCGCTGTGGATATCGAAAAGTGAGTCATGTGCTTTATTCTCACATATTTCCTGCCGTACATGTGGTACATATGAAATTCTAGTCACTACTTTTAAAACAGTTGTTTATAATTCATGGTTCGACAACTGATAGCCATTTGATATATACAGSACTGATGAATAAAAAATCAGTGTTATAGGGGGATATACAAGAAAGAGATTCCTAATTTAAGCAACAACCCATGATCATTGCCAAATTTCACATTGCTTATTAGTGGTGCATCGGGGGTGAATGTGTTCAGATCGGTAATGAAGTCCCGCTACCTATCCATGGAAATTGGGGAAATTGGAGCTCTATCTACTCAAAATGCTCGCGTACATGCGGAGGTGGTATTCAATATCGCACCCGTAAATGCAATAACCCGAGGTACGTTAGCACTTACTATCGTTTTATTTGCTGGTTATGATCTGTTATTTTTATTGACACGTTTTATTATTTTCAAGCCCACAGCATCACGGGAAACCTTGTACGGGTTCATCTATCGGTGAATGGAGGATTTGCAATTTTGAGGTAGTAACGTTTGAATAGTAAAACTGTTGTGATTAAGTCACCTATCTATTTGTTTATGCTGTAGGCATGTCCACCGGGCTCATCCGCTTATCGTGAAACTCAATGTAAAAGTAAAGGATATCCACGATTCTACACCAGTATGTGAGAGTATTTCTCATTTCTATCATCTAAATAAACATGATTCCTACCCTTACCTATCGGGTCCATGTTTTGACAAGATATGCAACCCCTTTTCATGGTTGTGATCTAATGAATTGGTTCTATATMAGGTCGTGATGGATGCACTTTGTGGTGTCGAAAGGGGAATGCGGTCACTTCCGAAGGAAATGTTGCTGATGGGACGAAATTCTACGTCGACAAGCCACACGTAAAAGATATTTGCTTGGGAGGAAAACTCCAGGCAAGTCATAGCCTTTAGTTGTAGATTTTCTCGCGTATCGTTTATCTGTTCGTGCTTAAGGACTCTAGGATTAGCATACAGAAAAACAACATCTTGGATTTTGAGTCATTCAGAAAGCAACTCTAAACAACAAATATTTTTCTAAAACAAAAAGATCACGAAGGTTCTGGTAGWCGTTTAAGTGAATACTATTGATTCGAAATAAACAATAACAAAATAAATACCTTATTAAATACAATGCAGCATGTGTTTGATATCTAGCGATAAAATTTAATTGATTTCTCCAGGCCGTTGGATGCGATAATGTTCTGTATTCAAAAAGCATTTATGATCGTTGTATGAAGTGCCTTGGAAACGGCGGATCGTGTGTTCCAGTCAAAGGGGAGTATAATAAAGACTATAGAGGATTTGGTACGTCCTGTTAGTGAAGCATATAACCACACAAATTCTTATGGCACTTGACCATTGCATTCTGACCGCTACAATTTGACCATTACACTCTGACCGATACAATTTGACCATTACACTCTGACCGATACAATTTGACCGGTGTTTCAAAGGCTATAAAAACATTTACATTCAGATTTAGGTGTTTCTGCGGCGATTGATGTTCAACTGTGTTTGTTTTGAATTTAGTATTAGAAACACTGTTTGTGAGTTTCTTTTTATCAGAGAAAGAATGACAATGAAGTATTTATTGTATTCAAAGGTCCCGGTAATCCTGATCCAATGTTTACCATACCTATCGGAGCAACGCATTTCTTTATCAAAGAAAACTCTGCAACTTGGAATGTCTTGAGTGAGTACATTCAGAGAAGTTTTCATAAGATATCATCACATGTTCTGTTCAGATTACCTTTCCAATCTGACTCCTGACCTGCAATTTTGTAATCTAGATATGAGACTCTATCCACCACAAAASAACAGTTATATTTTTTCACCTCGTACGTCAAGCACAATGAAGAAAGCAGCTGGTGTCAACATATACTATACTATGCCGRGTGCACGTTTGGATTATGCTGAATCTATGGAGTTTGTGGGACCTTCAACAAAAAAACTTGTCCCAATGGTAGGTTTTTACTCCCTTACCGTGGTCTGTCTTTTTTCTCGTATCTCATTTCTTGGGTTTGATCTTGCTGGTTACAGGTTTCTGATTTCAGAGAAAAAGGACTATTATGCTATTATGAGTGTTTTTAAAATGTATGCTTCAAAACAATGTTCTCATTGTTTTAGTTTTTGTGGATTGGACGCCATGTCAACGTAGGCTACAAATACAAGTATTTTAAACCTGGAAACGGCTCAGATACAACCTTTGTTTGGAAAACGGTTACATACGGGACATGCTCTAGATCATGTGCTCGAGGTACGTACGTCCCTTTATAGTACCTGCATGAGTAGGTCAGTCATTAATCTGATGGAGAATGTTTTTAGGTGCAATGAAGCAGAAAGTCACGTGTTATCGCCAAGATGACCAATCAGAAGTCTCTGTAATTCATTGCAATAAAAGAACTACACCGAACGATACCATTGCCTGCAATGAGCAGCCTTGTCCAGCAAGGTACTAACTTTTCGTTCAAATTGAGTCATACCTCTTTTACCAAACGCCTTGTAGTAAAGAAAAAAGATTATATTGTTGTTATGCTTTGGTTTGCCAAGATAAATTCCATGGATGCATTTGATCGATGTTTATTTTGTTCAGGTGGGATTCACAGTCATGGGGAAAGTGTAGTGAAAAGTGTGCTAGAGGAACGCATAAACGAACTGTGGCATGTATACAACAATTCTTAGCTGATGATTACAAAGTCGTAAGCGATAGCAGCTGTAATAGTACGACACGACCAAATGATACCAAAACTTGTAATGTGGTAGACTGCCCTCCTGTCTGGAATGTTGGATCGTGGTCACCGGTACGTTCTTCGTCAGGTTTCAACACACCTACGGCCAACTACCTACCTACCTACCTACCACTACTAACCAATACACCCTAACTACCTACCACTACTAACCAATACACCCTACCTACCTACCACTACTAACCAATACACCCTACCTACCACTACTAACCAATACACCAATCAAACAATCATTAATGTATTCATATTCTTGTTTTTAATGTTTTCAGTGTAGGAAAAATGGTTCTTTATACACGTCAACTCGTGAGGTGATTTGCCAAACCACTCTAGCCAACCGTACTATTATAAAAAACAACATTTCAGTTTGCTCGTACGCCTCGAAAGTTCCTCCAAGTGTGAAAAATTGTACTATTCCGGAACCGACCCCAACACCAAACAATGAGACTAACTCTACCACGGCACCAATAACGACAAAAATTATAACAATTATTGCAGGTAAATTCTGMTCTTTAGTCTATCGATTTAATATAAGTTGTAATTTTTGGCAGGATATTTGGCTGTCGCTTGTCCAACTTTATTTGTTTTGTTTTTTTTTTGTTTTTTTTTTTTTACATTTCGATTGTTAGTGCATGTTGGTGGTTGTTACAATAAGGTCATTGGCTAATGGCGTTTAATTGTTACAGTTCGACAAGGAAGGAGTGGAAGCAGCGCGTCCAGTTATTGGCCATGGATTGTAGTCATCATCCTGGTGATTGTTGTAATGACAGTATTCGTCCTGTTTGCTTTGTATCGACGAGAACGCCTACCTTGCGTTAATAGATGTTTTGGACGAGAACCTAGTGTATATTATTTGGCACCAAAAGAAAAGAAAGAATCAATCCATTCCGCTGGATCGGCAGAGGTGATAGTACAATCCGAGCCTGGTTTATTGATTCAGAAGTGAGAAAATATATCCCATAATAGCAGAGGTAAAACCTCGCTGGACCTATCACGGTGCACATGCTTTTGATTCGGGAACCCTGTGTGTCACAGCTATTGATCTAACACATGACATAAACTTTCGTTTCATTCATCATTATCATTCCATTGCTTTAGAAGTTATTTTGCACAAAGGCATAGTATTTTACATACTTTATTTATTAAGATTAATACAATTGGTAATCATACGATGAAATTTCATGTTATATTTTTGGATAAAATGTGAGAATGAAAACTTATTTTTTCGTGTCAATTCCCGTAATTCAAGTGATCAATTTCAATTTTAATGTACAATAGAATATAACGTTTAAAACGTTCCATAAATTAAGGCTGTTTGTGAATAAGTTTGGTAATATTTTAGGTTAAAACTAAAACTAGTATCACAATAAAGTAGACTTTATTTTTGAATTACTTGTGCAATCCCCACCTGACGTCTTCCCACACTGCTATTCTCCAGCTATGAAACACTATCGCTGCTCAAAGATAATGTTTTTGCTTATGTTTTCTTTGCTTTTACCTTGTTTGATCTACTATTAATGTCCTTACTTAGTATGAACAACGTACGGATTGTTTATCGTTTTASAAAGGTAACTTTCAATTGCCTCTTTTTTAACTACCATCAAATTTGCCGAGATCATTTAGCTTTTCACTTTTACATTTAGTTCGTATTTTTGATTTTTTCTTTATTACAGTGTTAAAAAAGGTATAGATAGTATATATACTATATATAATGCAGTSTAAATAGGTCTCCCTCAGTTATGAGTAGGCTATGAATTATACATATTAATGAGAACATTTATAAAAACATTGAAACACCACATTGTAAATGTGATGATAGAAATAAAAGTTAATCGATGAGATATGAAATGGATGGAAAATAGTGTCAGAATACAAAAGAAAACTATGAAACTATTGCRAGCGCATTAAACCTGTGAAATAGAACTTAGCCAATATAGTATCATAGTTGARACTAGTCTTGACCGTCTCAGACCGTCTTTTGTCACGGATTTAATGCGCCCACTCTATTTCACTCTCCGAAGCAAAAATAGCCAAGATACTTACATCAAAGGGGAATTAGAGTCTGTATCATGAAACTGATATGCATTAAACGAGCTTTTTTCTTCTCCTCTCTAACAAAGTGAATATTTACCATTGCATTTAAAATGTTTTCATTTCTAAAAAGTGTTACTTTATTCCACAACAAATATATGTCCTTAATTGTTGGTTTGTTGAGGCGTGGGTGCAATATCATTTTCACGTCCAAGCCCTAATGATATATAAGCCACTACAGATCTATCAACACTTCATCCTACCAGAAGACAAGTTGCATGGTCGCCGTCGAAGCAGTGAGTAGTAGCACAAAATGGGAGCCTATCTACTGCTGATAGCGGTAGTTTTTCCAGTTCTACTAATCAAGGTATGAGCACATAGCAATATCATAGTTGTGCATGTGAATTTAGGCTTGATCTGATCTTTAAATCGAAAGCAATACATTGCAGCAATTCAGTGGAAAAGTTAATGCATTCAAGAACAAAACACAACTGAACATCCCAACTGAAACTATTATATTTTTTGAGACTTCTTATTCACTTCACGCAAATGAATAATAAATATTTTCGTTTTTGAATAAACGCAACTAATTCTTGGTGTGAAACCACATGACCAGGTATCCCCTGAGAAATAAAGAACAAAGCTATCACCGCCATGTTGGATGAATGAACAAGAGAAACTAATAAGGAATGCTTTGTGGTTTTCATCCAACATGACGGTGAACGGTGACGCCAAGAATGCAGAATTAAGAGATGGTAGGCTCGAAAAGGGCTTTTTTTCATCAACACGGTCCCTTTTTGCACGATGCTATGTATATGCTCACTAAGAACAGTTGCCTAATCGTGTATTGTTCCATACCAGAGCGCCAAGTGCTGCTGAAAGAAACACCGACGCAGCTCACACTAGTTTACCGCTAGTTCCCACCATTTTGATTATTAAGATGACGTGTAATTTCTTTGATACAGTACACTAAAAGCAATTTTCATTGCCGTGTCTCGATCATCGTGTAGTTAGTGATATCATCTATTTTCCAGGCTGACAGCCATGCCAATCTATTGCACAATTCCATGACACATGAAGAGATAAAGCATTACCTGGAAACAGACTTGAACAATGAAAGTAAGACCAAACACATTCTAATCTCGTCCTCTTTCTCAGTTTCGTTAGTTTATCTATTTTACTGGTTTATCTCTTCCATTCTGCTTCTATTTGTAATGTCTTCATCAGTACATTATTTCTGTTCGTTTCATTTTTCTTCAGTTCCAGAATATGAAACTACCACTCTCTCCTTTCCACGACAAAAACGGAGCACCACCACCGGCCGATTGTACAGCATTTCTGCATTCGGCAAGAAGTTTGACATAGAGCTGACCACACCTAGYAACACAATCRGTGACCAAGGTGTTGTTGTACAGCGGCGTACGGTGGATGGTGTTAAAGAAGAAATCTTCCGACCTGACGGTCAGCTACTACATGGTCACGTGACAGAAGATGGAAATTCGAAAGTTGCYGTAAAAGTCAGCAATAATGGCAGAGAACTGGTAACATTGAGTTATAGTCTTTGTGTAGTSYCTCTTTTACTGCATTGCCTCCTTATTCTGTAACTAATGACGTCACTTTTGTCCCGCGTCCTAGAGTGGATCTATTTTTACYKATGGTCACGTGTACAAAATTCAGCCAATCAAAGAGAGCCTAAAACGKAAARTCAATCTCCATGGAAACGGTCACCACGTCATTTCTAGACGAAAACTTAAACAAACARTTTTTGACGACGTGAAAAATTTGAAAGGTAACAACAACATTTGATTGATAATTAACTTATTATTGATTCTAAATGACTATGACTGTCATTATGATGGATGATTAATCATTGTTCATTGATAAGTATTATAATTAAGCTTTAGAATGTTGATGGTTTATTGATATAGTCATGAGAGRTGCTCAGAGACGTACAAGACGAAGTAATGTTATAATGGACGCGAGGATAGTCGAGCTTATGATAACTATTGATAAACCTACTTACGACTTTTACGGTAATGACAGTATGGAGTACGTCCTTCACGTAGCTAACATGGTAAGTCATGTCTGGGAATATCTTCTTCTTTTCAACGCTATTGCTAAGTTCTTGTATTTCTGTCTTCAGGTCGGCAGACTATATCAAGATCCTTCGATGGGCTTCAGTCTATCAGTTCTCTTAACCAAAGTGTTTATTATTCAACACGATGAGGTAAAGGAAAACAATATAAACTAAATAAGATCAGTTGTGCGAAGGTTTGATGAAAACAAACAAATAGGAAAAGCACGTACGATCGAATACCGCATTTCTGTGTTTTTTTCTGCTTATACTTTTTTTTGCTTTACTCTTTTCCCGTTTCTTTTTTTAAATGTATATTGTTGTCCTGGTGGCAGTTGAATAGATGGATTTATTGATTAATTAATATGTTTTTTTCAAAAGCCTGCACTAGATATCAAAACCAATAAAATCGATTCGGCCGTCGGATATCTTTCTAAATTCCGTGACTGGGCAATAAAACAGAGCTCAAGGATTCCACCAGGGGCACAAGGACACTTCGACCATGGGTCGCTCATAACAAGGTACACTTATGGGATTTTTTGTAGTTGTAWTGCCCACAAGGACTAAGTGCTKATACAYGCATAGTCAAAAGCTTCATATCATCATAATTATCCGACATTATAGAAGTAATTATCATTATTTACCATTTAGACACATCTGCGGATTAAGCCACTGTGCACTGGATGGTATGAAGTTGCTTTGATCTGGGTTTTTACTCTCTGCTTTGCCCTGCTTAGAAGCTTATCGATGTAAATTTTACCGTCTCTAGGTGTTGCTTACTCAGGCTACCCGTGTAACAAGAACCTTGATTTCAATATCAACGAAGCCCGAGGACTACAGGCCGCGTTCTCTGTCGCCCATGAAATGGCGCACAAGTAAGATAATTGTCTCGTACCAGTCTCTTATCTTTAAATAAGCTGAGTAGAATCTTGTGTTCTTTAGCATTGGATTAGGTCACGATAGTGGCGACTGTGACAAAGGGTTTATTATGAGTGCTGGACAGTCTGCAGGACCCAACTCATTTAGATGGTCACCGTGTAGTAGCAAGAGAATGAAGGAGATTATGAGGTAAATGAATTCAGGGAAAAATACTGAAACAACTTTACATCACTATAAATTAATGTAAATATCTATCTAGTCCATGAATCTTTATTCGCACCAAAGGAGAATTTGTYWGTTATCACTTTAGTTTAATTGCCGGTTTGTTCATTCCATAGTGTTCAAAAATGCTACAGTGACAAGCCAACAAAAACTTTCACAATGCCAGCAATGCTTCCTGGGTATTTGTTTRACGCAGATAAACAGTGCAAAATGGCTTATGACAACACACACTCCGAATGTCCCGTTACCAAGGTAACWATTAAACCAATCCCGTGTATGCACGTGAACTTTTCCTTTTAGTTCATTAAATACCGTTTATTGTTTATACAGGGCAGTTGTGCKCAGTTGTTTTGCAGAAAAGGTAATTCATGYGTCGGTAGAGGAGCTGCACCTCTTGATGGGACCCCYTGYGGWCARAGAAAGGTGAATGTATCTTATAGATTGTGTGATACTCTCCTATTTTGTGTCAATGTTTAGTTGACATTATTTGACAACATAAGGGTTACGATAAGCTTGTATGTTGTTTAACAGTGGTGTCTGCGAGGCCATTGTGTCGATATTGGTAATGAYCTTCCACCAGCCGTTGATGGGCAGTGGGGAGCTTGGTCTCATTATACACCATGTACGAGACCTTGTGGGGGTGGAGTGAGGCGACGAAAAAGATATTGTGACAAACCAAGGTAAGAATAAATGACATGGATTAAATGGGATACTTATGGTGATATAGAGCGGATTTCGTATGAGTGGGAAACGGAGGGTACTGCACTGTGACCGTAATCGTACTGTAACCAAATTTCTCCATTGGTTCACCAAAATTTTGAAGGCCAGGTCCGGTAACTGTGCGGTAACCGTGCGGTAACGGTGTCCCACTCATACGAAATCCGCTCTAGTAATGATTGCTGTGTTCATTAACAGTCCGAAGTACGGGGGAAAAAATTGCGAGGGCAAAAGTGAGGGTCATGAAGAAATATGTAATCCACAGGTTAGYAATACAATTCTGTTTATTTAGTCAAAATGTGTATATTACAATGYATTACAAAATGATTCATTACTTAAATTGTATTGAAGTAACAGTAAATGTATATTTTCAAGGAATGTCATCCTGCAGTTAATTTTAGGAAAGATCAATGTATTAAGGATGRTGCTCATGATGATAGCTATTATGTCTGTAAGTACCATTAATTTTGCACAAGAAAAAGTTCTCGTTTGATTTCGATTAATTTTTACTATACATAGCAATATCTTTCTTCTTTTAATTTTTTTCTATGTACATACGTTTGCAAACAAATATAGAACATTTGACTTATTCTTGGTTTTCTGTAGCAAGCARACCCTGTACATTGTACTGTCGAAAGGGAAACCTGGTCGGATGGATGGGTAACGTTGTYGATGGSACGCGATGTTACAATGACCGAGATAATAAAGATACCTGCATACAGGGGCGATGTAGGGTATGTTCATTATTAATRTATACGGTTAATGCTGGTTAATAATGCATAATGACTTAGTGTTAAAATCATTCTCTGGTGAAACAAAATTGTAATTCAACGTACGTATTTGCATTGACATTTGATAAATGCAAGGACAAGCATTCTTTAATTTCACAGAAAGTTGGCTGCGATAATGTTCTGGARTCTGGTAACGAGGTTGACAGATGTCGTAAGTGCGGTGGCAACGGTGGAGACTGTAAACTAGTGAAGGTTTCAAACTACAACAAAGACTATCGCGTCTACGGTATGCAAACCTGTACACTATCACGTGATCGCCACTATGACCGTGATAAYCAATGAAATGACTATATGCTAGGACTATATAGAATTGTGGATGTGTGTCATTAGGTCACTAGTGAGGACGTTGGTGATCCTGGTGATGATAACGATGATGATGATGATGATGAAGATGGACGTTGATGTGCGGTGGTAACAAGGTCATTGAATAGTTGATGATGATGTYAATAAAATACGGCTAATAATGGTGAAACAGTAATATCTCATTGTTATAAATRTTTCCAGTTATCATGGCCCCTTCTCTACAGTATAGAGACCAGTCCATGTAATTGTAAATAATTAAATGGTCATGTGTTATGTATGGCTTTTTTCACTTCAGGTCCTGCAAATCCTGATCTCATGTTTACTATACCAACTGGTGCAACAAGTGTCACCATCAAAGAGCTCGGCAAGACCAACAACTTCKTGAGTAAGTATTAACGATAAGACTTGTATGGATAGAAAGATGCAAGAAATAAAAAGGTGTGGTACTGTGTTGTTGCTGATCTATGGTGATTGTGTGAATATCCCAATGATGTGATAAAAACAAGATAAAAGTGAGTTTCTTTGTTCAGGTCTTAAACTGCAATTTTCGTCTTCAAGTTCATACATAGTTCCTGTACCGAGTTACACAGGTTTATTCAACGCCGCTGGGACGACCATAGAGCACTACATGAAGRATATGGTAGACGATGAAACCATCTTTATTCGTGGTCCAACTACTCAACCGCTCTATGCCGTGGTATGTAGMGAGTGTTTATATTTCTATAATATTATACCGCAAAGACGGTTTAACAATGAAATATGATATATACACACAAACAAACACGATTCGCCATTTCATTCAATATTTGTAGTTCGTGTATGCGGGKTATTACAAGAATCCAGGTTTTTCATGCCAGTACTATCTTCCTGGACAAGGTCAATCAACAAAGTATGTGTGGAAAGTAGTTAAAGGAACTTACTGCGACGCCAGCTGTGCAGGAGGTACAAACAACTAGTCAATCATATCAATCAACCATCTACTTCCATATGAAACGCAAACATGTTAGCCTCCTCCCAGGCCAATCTATATTCCTCCTTCAGGCTTGACTGTTTGGTACTAATGACGATAAAGAAAATTATGGAGAGGAGGCGCGTCTTCCCTTCCTCGGTCCCATGCTCCCTCTTCTGACTTCCACTAAAAAGACTGGAAGCCAGTGACTCTAAGTGATGTCTGTGGGGGAGGCTACAGTCATGAAGTCCTCATTGTAGCCAGGAAGCTCGATTCCAAGAACAGCACTGACTRCGAGCGAGACTACCAGATATCAAACGAGAGTACTTGTTAATTAACAAACCAAAGAAAGTTTGATATTTTGCCGTTTGATGACCTTTAGGTGTAAAAATCAACCACGTGACATGCCATCGTGTGGATGACGACACTAATGTTGACGTCAAGAGCTGTGACCATGCTACCAAGCCTGCCGTAAGAGAGTCGTGCAATACACAACCTTGTCAACCACAGTAAGTGACGTCATTATTATTATCATTTTCAAGGTTTTTGTGAATCTATCTTTGAACGATTTTTTGGATATCAAGTCGATATAAATCGCGTGAATGTATCTGCATTCCCTTCAGGTGGAAGACTGGGGACTGGAAGATGTGCAGCAAGACCTGTGCCAGCGGGCAGCAAAGCCGATCGGTCACGTGCCAACAGAGGACTTCACAGTCTACTTTCAAAACCCTGGATGACTCAGCATGCGATTTGAATACTAAACCARCAGTGACCCAGAAATGCAACAACAGAAATTGTCCACCAGAATGGGTTCATAGCCCTTGGACAAAGGTAACCCAATTATGCATTGTAGATCTATGCATATATTGAGGTCCAAACGTTTGTCGAAAATGGACATATCCCGTGTTGATATCTTGGTTTAACACTTGTGATCTTCCGTTACTTTACAAAAAATTGAATCATCTTGTCTTAACAGTGTTCTGCTGAATGCGGTGGTGGCGTTCGATCAAAAACCGTCAAGTGTAAACAGACTTTACTCAACCAAACAGTCATTTCTGTTGATGAAAGTAATTGCCTGACAGAAACTGGTTACAAGCCGGCGCTCAAAGAAACCTGTAACACCATGGAATGCTATATATGGACCAAAGAATACCCGTGCAATGGTTGCAAAGGTAGGACCGTAAAACCGTGAAAAAAAATAAGACCATGCAACAATATTCTAGCCTCCTTTGCAGACGGTTGACCGACCTTGAGAAGAGTATAGGCATGCTGTATATTATAGTTTCATGAAAGTCTTTTACATATTATCGCAGGTTACAAACATCTTGGCTGCTTTAAAGATACCTGGGATCGTGCACTGCCTAAACTCCTCAACCACTCSATAAATACCATTACTGAATGYCACAACGTCGCCAARGCACTCGGCTATACTGTCTTCTCAGTTCAAAATAAACGCGAGTGCTGGAGTTCCGCAACTGGCAAACAAACGTATAGCAAACATGGTCCGAGTACCTCATGTAAAGACGGTAAAGGAGGAACATGGKCCAATGACGTCTATGAAATCGGTATATATGACATCATTATACACCTGGGAAGCATGGAAGAATAATATCCACGAGTTATGTGTCACTTAATTGAAATTTGCGTCTTTATTGATAACCCATCCTTCTTTAAAAAGAAAAAGAAACGTGAGCTCTGTTGTATGCCGAGTGTTCAATTATCCTGAACRATAAAATACGATGCGATATCGATCATCATCGCGCGTCGAAACAAATCAAGTGTGGARTATAAAATCTGTTTTGTTAAAGTGTGTAATGTTTATGATTAAATTGATATTTACGTTTTTTCGCAGAACCTGAAAAAAGTTATGAACCAATCGGTTGCTTCAAAGACAATCATGTTCCARACAGACGACCCCTCCCCAGCCTAGTWGGTAACCATAGGGGTAACATCGATTGGAAAAACATTAATTCAACAGTAGAAAAATGTTCTCATGACGCGTGGAAAAGTGGGATGGCTGTGTTTGGTGTTCAGTACTATGCCGAATGTTGGTCCGGTAAGCTTGGTTACAAGAGCTACAGCATTGATGGGGTCAGTCATGATTGCTGGCATACCGTGGGAGCAAGTAGCTCTAACTACGTGTACGCTTTCTCTCGTAAGTAAAGTACTTACACTCAYTTACACCCATAACCTGTTACAAGTCATTGAGTTAATATCATCAATGGRCGTTTTGATTCAAATGACGTTGTGACCGAAAAGGGGCATGGGAAGGTAAATGACGAGTACAARCTACAATAGTTATGTGTTGTTAACATTGTTTCTGTTCCCAAACACTTTCTGCATACTAAGCAATCATCGCTTTCTATGGGAAATGGTTGACAATGTAAATGTTTAGTAAAATTGAGAGTCACCATCCTTTTCGGTCTTAGCTTCGAGGTTTTCATCTTTCTGAACCTACGTTTTTTAAATTGGTGTTGCTCTATTCAATAATAGACCTGTATTTGATATATTGATTGCACAAAGCATTTTGTATTACTGGTGATCATTTGTTTAAAGGTAAAGTGGTAAAAACAAAGATGGCATGTCGCCATGTCGTGACAAACGTGAAGGTCTCAGACGATCACTGCAAGGGAACAAAGGATTCCAATGAYCTTCGACTATGCAGCGAAGTATGCAATGCTGTAAGGTAAAGTTAACAAATATTATTATTTTCTTAAATATTTAAGGAAWTTTATCATTTTTTCACAATGACGAATTAAGAACGATATACCAAGGCATGCTAACAAGCTATTTATTGTTTTAATAGTTAATATGGACATCTAACAGTGGACAGTATCTACGCTGAATCTAAATAGCAACCATCATTGACTGATGTAAAACGACATGTACAATAGATWAAGTGAATAATGGTATTATCAATATAAAATAGTGAATGACGCTTCTTGAGTGCTGTTATTACTCCCTATTCTATCATCAAATGGGTRTTCGTGTAGTATTCTTGCTGTTCTTGCGTAGAGTACCATATAGTCCATATCACAAGCCCACCATTTTGAATGGTTTTGCAATGTATCATGGGATATATATCTCCCTTTCTTCATCAAAACAAATCRCTAAAATCCTAAAAACACTAATTAGTTTCGATTTTTCCACAGATAAAATATGTTTCATTCAATATGTTTCATTTTTGCTTGATTTGCCTAGTAAATGGAAATTCTTGATTAACTGTACATTTTTTGGAGGTTTTTCTTGCTGTATTTCCTTGCATGTTGATATTTGTTTGTTTTTTTCGCTTCTGAGATTAACTACAATATCAACTACAATTACCCAATGTTTTTTGAAAACTGAGTCTACGTTACAGACAACTGGCGCACTGACATCGTTTTTTACTTGTTTACTCATTTATCAATCCCAAAATGCACTGCGTCACAAGGTTTTCCGCGGGTTGCGATATGGACTATGACCAATAGGTCAGTTAGAAAAGGCTTTTGGGCGCGGACAGTCTCCATTAGCTGTAGTGATTGATCGGGCGGAGTTAAGCATGATATCTCATGATGAGAAGATGAACGGACCGCCTTTACCACTACTTGACTTTTTCATCCAAAAACGTTCCGACRTATACCGGAAAAGGAAACGTATTGTTTGTTTTACAAACAACAATTTGTTAACATCATGTGTACCGTGTGTCGAGACCTCTTGTCAACTAAAAAACTAGCAGTCTTTGAAGATCAATTTGCTACCGAAATCCCCGGGCTGCTGTCCTGCATTGTTGTATACTGATGAACTAGCAAGGGRTCAAGCCACCCAACGTTGTTTTTAAGACCTATATTAAAGATTTTAAAAGACTTGTACGTGAGAAGAGCAGTTTAGATATACAAAAGACCGACGACTTCCATGCGTAACAGGAAAGGCACACGCAAACCGACAACACGTGTCGGCACAGCTATATTTTATAAGATGTAAACTAAATCAAATCATGTAGCTCAAGGACTATAGATTCATTTTGATAYCAGAACAAGTATAAGACAGTCACGCATCCCATATAGCTACAAGATAAAAGGTACATTATTTTGTTGATGATCACATATCAGGTGTAGACAAAAAAGATACCGAAATAGCTGTAGACAGAACTTGTGTCTGGTGGGGATTATTAATTTTTATTCTGTATATTTATACAGAATGTGCTATGTTATACCGTTCACCAATGCGTCTGATGTGAAGTCGTGCATGATCTGTGTGTAAAATTACCACTGAAAGTATACTGTTTGAATTATTTGCTGTCAGTTTTAGTGACCATAAGTACTGGCCAAGCTTCCCGCWTTGACGTAATAATCGACAGACTGTAATCGTTAATCAACCATTGTCAGTTTTGGACAAATAATTTTTCATATGAGCAGAATATTTCAAGGCAAGTAATAACGCTATCTCTTGTGTAAAAGTGGTATTTATATTCCTTTTGATTTCTACTGTCTGACCAAAGCACCATTTATCATGTTTATTAGCAGTCAGTAATATCGGTTTTCAYGGATTTAGTACGTACACKCTAGTCTTGATCGTTCRTTGCGTTACCATGGGCACGGAAGCAAAAGCGATCGCTCAGTAACTAAGTGTTTTTGTTTTCATATTTTAATTTATTTTTCAATTCAATAGGCTCTTTCAACAGTGAATATTACAAATTTTTAGTCACAGTCACATGAACCGCTGCGTAATTTGACAAAATTTTATTGAAAATCACCGTATGTGCTATAACTAGTATTGAAGACACCGAAATGATACAATTTATCAATTTTCTACAAACAAGTGATACATGTTCCATTGAACTCAGCACGTGGCAGCTAACACTTATGGAACGTGATCAGCTTGTCTCTATTTGTTTTGAGCTGCATGTTTACTTTTTTCATTCAAAATAACGCCAGATGAAATTATGCCAGTATKTAAGGTAGGTTCGTAAAGATCAGATAAGCTGAAGCGGAGAATTGGGAAAGTGACCGAAAGTCACGGGATCCTTGTGGTGTTCTTGTACAGCTTCAATGTCAACTGGTTCGTACTGTATAAGGCAATAAAAAGGTACTAGCCTAGACTTGGACCATTGAATTGTTTATGTTAATGCTGGAGCTTGTTGCCACTAACAGATGTGGTTGAACACTAGTTGAAGGGCAGTGGGAGTCTCTACTTTTGCGTCGAAAATAATTACATTTATCATAATTATATTACATTATTTCAAGACTAAGAGGCCTTGAAAAGGAGCAGGTGCTGAACKGTAAAATGGGGAAATTATGCTGAAAAAATGAAAGAAAACTGTYGCAAAGTCACATTAAAGAAGGAGAGTGAACAGTTTGTGCAAATAACGCGACAAAAATGAGTRGATGAATCAAACTTTTGAGAAATGGTATACACTAATGAAATAATGAAACCGGATGAGGAAGGTTTCATCTTGTAATTTGACCACACTCGACAAAGACTGATGGACCAACAGGAAGAGTGAGATAATGAAAAATAAATGAAAAATGAATAAAAAATGTGTAAATAACGTTCAATATTGACAAGTTTCTATCCATTAGAATATTCCTTTATAACGCCTTTCTTAATCAACAACAAGTTATTTTCGTATTTGTAGATCTACCTGTCCTTACTGAGGTAGCTTCCATGTGATAGTTTCTTTGTTATTCCCGCGAGGTCACTTGGCCAGCATCCAACGCCCTGAATCTGTCCTGGTCAAAACAACTCCTATAGTACTAGCACAGATTAGTTTTCTTGTTTAGACCATATAAACGCTTCACTAACCACCGGAGATATAAAGAAACGGTATTTATGGAATTTTTGTGGTTTCCGTCAATGATTTGAGTGCATTCCATTGTCAGCCTTGTCTTACGATAAACAACTTCAACTATTTTTCACGGGCGTAACGAACGCTATGATTGGCTACTCTAYGGTGACGTCATTTTTCGAACTTGCCACACGCATGTTGTTATTAGGTTTGAAGAGGACAAGGATCTCCTAAAATTTCTCTTTTTAATTTCAAGTCTAAAAAGCTAAAATGCTGTAAGGCCAACTAATGATATTAACTGACTTTTCTGAAGTGAATGATTAGGGTGTTAGTACCAGGTAAGCTTCAATGACTGTACAAAAGTACAATTTTACAAGCACTTCATGGTTTACAAACTAACGAGTGATCTCCTGTCATCACTCCTAAATATTCTTATAGTTTGTCATGGTTTTACTATAGAATTTTAGTTTTGCTGTTTCAAAGCGTGTTTTAAGTCGAAGAGTATGGACTTTTGGGTTCTATGTTAATGATGGGAAATGATCACTGTACTTCTAATCTCCATGGCCGGGTTTTTGGCGTGCGACTAGCCGACAGGAATAGCTACATTGCCAAAAATATCACACAAAGAGTATAGCATCTTATAGGTTCTCATTTCAAAAGCCATAGCAAGTTTTCAGTGTCTGGAATTTTTTKTGTGTGTGCGATCATAAACAGGATCTCTATGAATAGTTGTTTACCAAGGTTTCACTTTTATAAATGAAATTCAAATTTTTTTATTTCAAAATAAGCTTATAATAAACTCGCCCTTGAATTAAATTCATCAAGATATAAAACTTGTTTTCACTCAAGTTCTGTTGAACTTGATTTTTACATGGAATCTTYCAAACGCATCCTTTCCATAATTTACCTGCAAAGATCACACAATTTATACAAGTTTGACCTATTTGGCCWCAATACATAAAATAACACTATCACAAAATTAACTTTAAAGAATATATTTCTGGAGTTCTATAGTAGAAGTTAGGTGTTAAATCTAACACATATTCTTTCAGTATTATGCTTTTTAATATATTTGTCTTTGGCTCAGTGGTAGGGGTAGATGACAGCTGCCAATCATCCACCAACTTTGTTAAACAGAAAATAATATTCTATTGGAATATATTTTATGAAGAAAAAAACATTCACAAGGAAGATTGTATTCTTGATCAGTGTGTAAATCAAGGTATTTTATTTTTTGCCTAAACGATTGAATTGCAAATTTATAGTTTGTTTTGGTGTTTTGGAGATAAAAATAATCTAAGCAATTTAAAAAAATGTGTCTATGTTCTGTTTCGTTGTTTTTTTCTTTTCTTCCTCTTGTGAATAATTTAAAGTTTAAGTGTGTTATTTTCTCTGTAATGTGGAAATCAGTTATTGTTTCATTGAAAAAACCTGTTTCATTTTATGATTTTCAACCCAGAAAAYTGCTATCAAAAGTGCTTATATTTCATTCGGTTTTTTGTCTTTAAATRAAGTCAGTGTTTTGTTTAAAATCATTGTATTTTAACATATTTTGCTGTATATCAATTCAAGCCCTTCATAAAAAATGAAATTGATGATTGGACTAAGTTGGACTTTTTGCATTCATTGTCAATTTGTTGAGATACCATTGAAAATGTAGGTAAAACATGAAGACACATAACAAATACTATAAAAATATATGCATGTTTATTACACCTTACTTCTATGTCACTTTGTTATGCTTCAGTTTCATTTTTTTAACTCATTTCTTGTAACTTTTGATACAATAGCATTGTGGTTGTCTGTGTTTAGCACTAAATAAATTATGTCCTACAGACGTAGTGATTTATAATATTTATACCCTTAGGGTCTGGTTTCAATTATATGTAATGTAAATTAAGTATAAAATTACTGTATTTAAGTTAATGCTTCTATTTTTAAACCAGAACTAAAATACTTTTATATAATTTATGTGATAAAATCAGGTTTATTTTGTGTTTTTAAGATTTTTATGATTTCAAATATTTTTTTACAAAAATAATTTTGGTAATGCTGTTCTATTCTGTGCATTTAATTCCCATCTTTTTAAGTAATTTGTCTTGTCCTTATACAGATTATATTTTCTATTTTTAAAAATCAGATTGTTGATTTGATGTTCTGTTGTCTAGGCAACAATCATGTTTAGACTCTGTGTTGTGGGAAGTGGTGGTGTAGGCAAGAGTTCAGTTACAATACGATATTTGAAAAATGAATTTACAGAGGTAGGTTTTAACTCACTRTAATATCAAAAACATTCTCTTTTTTTGTAATGCCTTTTTGTTTTTYGTCTTTTCAGTACTATGATCCTACTTTAGGTGAGTAACTGTGTTGAACATTAATTTTGCATGTTGTTAATTGTTGTGCACTGCATTTTGAACACAAAGTGTAAATCAGATCTCTTTAATAACSTTGTTCTTTTCTTTCTGTTCTTTATAGAGGAGGTGTACAGAGCACGGGTAAGTATTATTTGTCTTTCACATATCCAGTCAGTCAGTCAGTCGATCATTTATGTTTTCATTCATTCCTTTAGATTGAATACAATGGTAAAGTGTATAACATAGAAATAGTGGATACTGCTGGCCAAGAAGAGTTTAGTTCTTTCCGTGATTCCTCTCTTGCAACTGGAGATGCATTTTTGGTTCTGTTTGCTATAAACTCTGCATCAAGTTGGCATGAATTGAAAGACCTACGAAGAAAAATCATTCAAGACCATGAAACAAATAGTACCTCAACGATACCAATGGTGATTGTGGCCAACAAACTGGTATGTTGTACATAACTTAGGGATAACTGAAAATGTTTTRCTGGTCAATTAAGTATTGTACATGTACACAAATTTCTTTTAACAGGATTTAGAAGAGGAACGAGAAACAAGCAAAGATGAAGTTATGGAATACTGTAACTCAATGAACACTCCCTTCATTGAAACATCTGCAAAGGTATCATTAAACTGACTATAGTACAGTTGGTTAATAGTGATTAGTTAAACCCAGACCTTTTCCATAGGTTTGACTTACTATGACTAGACCCATCAYATCTTCTTCTCAATTATGTGTACTGATGATAGATTTTTCTTCACAGACTGGACTAAATGTACATGAAAGTTTTCAATTAATGATGAGGCAAATTCATCGAATCCAGCCTTCTTTATTAGAAAGGACTGTACCCATTAGTTTGGAAGAGAATGGCAAGAAAAAAGACTGCYTGATACTGTAATTCCATGAAATGTGTCGTGTTGGAGCTTGAATTTTCATTTAAGCCCTTTGGAGTGGAATCAAATGACCTGAGCCTTTTCCTGCCCTGTGTTGTTAATTATARACATCCATGGTAAAGAAGTAACAGAAGCTCTGAAAGGATTACACATTGTAACAAATGTGCATGATGCCTTTGATATTAAAGTTGACATATCTAGAAGTTCTGAAAGAGCCTGCAAGATATATTAATGGGATATRTTTTAATTTAGGGTGCAAAGTATTTAATATTACAAAGACCAAGCTTTAAATAAGTTCAATCAAGTTCTTGAAACTTATAGTCAGACACTGGGTTAGTTTAAATTATGACAGACTATTGTTTCACAATAAGTGACATGAAATTATGTTCTGGTGGTAACTATTACTGCTTTTATATTGTTAGTCAGAAGGAARTATTTTAGATTGTTTAATTAAATACTGCCAACTTGAAATCTGTCAACATCTGCTTCTTTTTCAATTGTRTTGGATGGGTTCCGAGGGTGATTGACCTACATACATCAAGGGACAAACTTGTCAGAGTCAGTGGTCTAGATGCACCTTCAACCTTATTTACAAATCATACAATAGTTACAAGTAGAGCATGTATGCAGTGGCATCATCGTCCAAAATCAAATGCAATAAGGGCTATGCTACCTTACAACACAAAGTATGGCATGTGTATCTGTCTCCTTATACATTCCAGTTTTTTCCCGAAAAGAGTATTTGAGGTCATAAATCAGTTATATTTTATACCTCTTTCCAAAACAAAAGTCTTTTTGTATATATCGGGTATCCTGTGTAAATAGCAAACGTACTGGTAACTAGTTCCCAGTCTTTCAAYAACACGCGGTTGATTACTTGTGGAGTCAAGATGGCGGAGAAAAGAGGTATTGAATTCTCTGATATTTTAGCTGTTTTCGATGTGAAATGATAACTTGAACTATTCAATTATAATTTGATGTTATTATAAGATGTCTATATTGTTGTAGATAAATTTTACTGCAACTGTATTAAAGGATTTGTGTATTAATTTCTGTCCAGAGATGAAAGTGACTGCTCAAGAAATGGCGGACGCAAGGATCCCTTTGAATGGACGTGATTATTGTGCTCATCTATTAATTCCATTGATAAAGTGTCGTAAGGAGACATACTATGTACCGTGGAAGTGTAAACACGAGAAGCACGCCTGGGATAAGTGTGAATATGATGAGTAAGTGATCATATAAGCTTAAAAGTTTTTTAATACCTTTATCCATAGTTAACTATGCTTTATCGTGTTTAATGTCCATCAATGTGCATATCCATTTCCAGTCATGTGTCATGTAAATTTGAATTTGAATTGTCTACAATTTTAAAAAAATTGGGATATAAGGAAATGTACAAAAGTAATGAACAAGTACAAAATTGAGACATAAATTAGCAACGTTGAGTCTAAATAATGGTGATGATGTACAAACCAAAGTCTGGTTTACATCAGT